AACATATTTAACATATTTAACATTTAACGTATTTAAGACTCAGTTATTTCGGATACTAATCATTGAATTGCTGTTATTTTCCTGGCGATTTTATTTCTGTTAAAATTAAAAGTTATAAAAATGATTAATTAGCTGCTAATTTATATATTTAGAATATTTAATTATTTGTTCCTGATTTTTACATTTGTTTATTTAGGATTTGAAAGCTAAAATTGACCATGCTTGTCGCACCGCAGAAGACTTCACAAAGTTATATTATGAATCTTTAGACAAGCGGAGATATGTAAGTAATAATAATATTGTTAAATATATTATTTCTTGATTATTTTATATTAATATAATTAATATATAATTTTAGTTGATTTCAAGAATGTATATGGATACTGCTACTCTGATATGGAATGGAAATGGTGTAACAGGCAAAGAAACTATACAAAAATTCTGGACAGATTTACCACCTTCAGAACATACCGTTCATACTCTTGATGCTCAACCAATTACAGGTAACAGGCTTCAATAACTGCACTAAATAAATGAATTATAATAAATTTGTATTTTTTACTATATAAAAATATCAAATAGAAATTTATAAATATTAAATAATATTGCACATTATATATTGTATCTTAATTTTATAACTTAAATTTTGATAGAATTTATATTTGATAGAAATAAATTCTCAGTCGCATCTAAATAACTTCTCTTATTTTAATGCTTATACATTTAATTCATTATGTAAATATTTATCTCAATAATACGCGAAACCAAAAATTTTCTATTGTTGTGTCTGTACTATGTTAACAATAGGTCCAGAGGTAGCCAACCAATTAACATTTCTTGTCAAGATTGGCGGTCAAGTAAAATATGACGAGAAGAATTCAAAATCATTCAATCAAACCTTTTTAATTACGGCTATAGGCGATAAATGGAAAATTGTAAGCGACTGTTTTCGAGCACAAGAGCTATTAGATAACAATACAAGTTAGTTACATTAAGTAGGTGCATTAAGATTATAATAAACTTATTTTATACTGTAAAAACTCAATATTTTGAGAAATTTCTCTCCTGTAACATATGTACAATATATGCATACTAATACATATATAGATATATATATGTATCTACACACACACACACACACACACACACACACACACACACACACACACACACACACACACACACACACACACACACACACACACACATGCACACAGTAAATTCACAATATATATATTTACTTATATGACAACATAATAGCAAAGCAATTTAGTACATTGTCATCAGAGTCATTCAGCTAAAACTGAACAAAATTCAATTAAAAAGATTTGGTAACTTTTTTATCTTTAATTTTTTATATTAACGTATAAAAGTAATATTAAACTTTTATATTAATGAACTAATATATTGGTTGAAATTGTACTGTTGAAAGTAACTGAGTAATTTTACAAAAGAAATTACAAAAAATTCAAGACAAGATACGCACACAAATAAAATTATTATAGGAAAGGAAAAGTAATAGAAGATATAAAAGTCGATTTTTTTTTGTATTATAGAGAATAGAATTTTCTATTTTCAAAAATGTATTTACACAAAGAAAAATAAGTTGTCGATTTTATTTCTGTGACCTATTAAATGTTTACGAATTTATTGTGAATATTTGAGACATTGTTAAGAACCGAGTATTAAAATCATTAAGGTCAAGAAGAAATCCTCAAATATAATTTGACTTTTGTTTCGTACGCAATGAGTAAGTTATCTCAACATCGAAAAGAACGTTTGTCGATCGAAAGACCATCAAATCTGTAAAAAAAAAATTGAAAGATATACTAAAATTACTCTATTTCTTTTAATTTTTCCGTATTTTTAAATTCTTTGACACAGTATTACATCGAGTGTTATATACATGCTCTTAATTCTGATAGTGCATTATCACTACGTACAGTACAAGTGAGCAGATAATTTACACTCCAGTACGGTACGTATTTCTTTTCTAGAATATTCCATGAATTGATTGTTAAATCTGAGCACATGCAACAATTTTCTAAAGAATGATTACGGATTTATGCTTATATAATATTTTATTATTAATATCATTTGTATATTACTTTGATAAAAATTATCTCATAAATTTACAAAATACTATGTGTGCTTATTTAGAATTGAGCAGTCTGTGGTAAAAGAATATCATTTTAAGTAAATATTCAATTAAAATTGCTTTTCCACATTATTAGCATCACTATCAATTAATATAAACCATGTAAAATTTAATAATATATATATCGTAATTATCTTTTATTTTATTGAAAATAAAAAAATTTCCATGTATGGGATAAAAAAAATTGAGTACGAAATTCTTATGTTTCAATATTTATACAGAAACAAAATTTAGATCTTATTCCTTCGTTTATTAAAAGCGTAATGCATATAACAATGTATGTAACAGAAAATGTTTGATATTTAATACTTATTTGTGCCTCAAATTTGTGATTTTTCTATTTTAATTTAAACAAGTATCCCAAATATACATTTCTTGAATGATATATACATTGCCATAAAAATGCCAACGCTATACTTAGATTAATTTTTATCTCGCTTCAATTTATTTCTTATCTTTTTCTGATTGTAAGAATTAGAAAAAGTAAACA